AACTGACAGTTCTGTTTGTCTTTCACCATCCGACCAAATTATAATTTTAAGCGATAAAACACATTACTAACACAGTGGCGACTGTTTTATAAAAATAAGGTCAACATATTTCAATGCAAAAATACTTTCAATTAGCTACTGAATCCATCCAGCTGGTGTTAACATTGGTGCCCCCCACCTTTTACGTTTACTGAAACTCTATTTTTAGGCAGACGAGTCAGGACTTCTATTCTAGTAAGAATGTCTATTGTACAGAGTTCGATCCCAGCTGAATGCCTCTTTGCTTGCAGCGTTGATCAAATTTACTTGTTTTGCCAGAGAGCAGTGATTATAAAGGCCCTTCTACAAGGCATGGTGCCAGCTGATATATACAGGGTATGATGGGTAAATTATCGCCATTTTATATTTTTAATTTCGCACATGCGCATTGGTTGTTTTTGATTTTGTATACTGCACATCTTAGTAGGGTCAGTTGGGCACCGTCTGATAGAAAAAGACACACCATGACGTAATTCACTCAAATTCAGACAATTTGGAAACGGCATGCTATACTACTTGCATTCGCACCGGAAGCTCCAATGCGAACAATTCATAATGTTAGGGTTTCAATCTGGGGACAGAGCAGAAGATTCGGAAAGAGTTGGATGAGTCTAATGGTGATTACGAAGGAATGATCACTAGTGATGGCGACGTTATACCTCCGTTCATCTTCTCAAAGGGCCTCAGATTCAGCACGGAGGTCTACATTAAGCGCCTTGAGACGATAGTGTTGCCTCGGGTCAAGAGAGTGGCTGCTGGATGACACTATTTATGGCAACAGGACTCTGCACTATGCCACACAAGTAGAACCCAGCGACCACATCACACCTTACATCTGGCTGCCTAATTCCCCAGACTGCACCCCCCCTTGATTATTATGTTTGGGGTGCAGTTGAGTGAGAGACCAACAAAACTCCTTGTAACACCAAAGATGAATTGAAGGCAAAGATTATGGCAACATTCACCAACTTAAACAAGGAGACCATCCAGAAGAGTTGCAGGAGATTCCGAAGTCGTCTGGAGGCCGTAGTTGAAGCCAATGACGATTTTATTGAATAAATGTACTCGTTAGTATTTCAAGATATTTTTTGTGTAATTTTAGTAAATATATCTGTTAAACTGAGATATCAGTGTTATTTTCATTTTTTTTGTGTAATTTAGACGATAATTTATCCATCGCACTCTGTACAATATAAGAAAAAAATACCAAAAGTCAGGGACCATTTTAAATAGTAAGCAACTGGCCTCTATGCCTAGGTTATGAAGACTGAGCCTAAACGGTTCACAGCGTACGACCTCCTGAAAGCACAAAGTTCGGATCGCTACTTATGGTTCACGCTTCCGCGATCGTCAGACGACCATCGTTTTGGTAGCCTGAAGATCATGGGAGCATGAAACTTATACATATATATTTGCGTGTGTTGCGTGTGTGTGTGTGTGTGTGTGTGTGTGTGTGTGTATTTTTTCTTGGTTCTATCCATTTCTCTCTCTCTCCCTCTCCTCCTCTCTTTCTCTCTTTCTCATTGTCATAATCTCAAAACTCCGCCATGTTTTCTCTTGGACAAATAAATGATGGTTGTTTTGTATCACGTCGTCGACAGACAGCTCCTGGTTTTGATGGCTTTGTGCAATCATTCACCTCTCTCTTTGCCACTCTTCCGTCACTCACTTTATCTGCATTCTCCGTCCGCTGTAGAGTGAGCCTGACGCAGTTTCTGTCTTCAATACATGCCTACTTATTACTTTCGAAACAGGCAGCCGACCGGGTCTGCTCAACTGACCGAGTTTTTCCCGCTCTTCTCGATCGAAACGCGCAGTAAAATCAATCAATAATTATCTTCCCTCTTTCGTTTCCATTTACACGCTTTTTGCTTATCCAATACTTTTCAGTTTAGTCTTAACGAAAAGCCGGCTGTTTTTTTTTACATCTTTTGTTTTTAATATCCGTTTTTTTTCTTTTTCAAGAGACTTTCAGTTGAGTTAACTTTCTTTTTTCTTCTTTGCTATCACTTTCGTTTCTTCCTCTCTTTCTTTGTCTTTTATCGTTTCTTCTTTTGCCTCTAATTCCCACTACTTTCCTTTTTTTCTATATTTTCTTTAACGAGTTGAAATATTCCTATTTAAATTCTTTATATTCTCCTATTATTAAAATTATTTTTTAAATCTTTCATGCATTTGTATGCTCACAGCACACACACACACACACATATTTATATATAACTATATATATATATATATATGTATATATTGATGCATGTTTTATTAAATAATATAGACAAGTTTTGTCGATTTATTTTAAGTAAGTTTCTTTCATATTGTTTGATAAGCTTGATAACATTATCATTGAAAGACGAAATAAACGACGAAATCTCCAAAAATATTCTTAAATGCCTATAATTGATAACAGAAGCCATTGGTTTATACCAACGACTTCCCATACTTAATAATTCTCGTTTTCACTCTCTGGTGGTCATGTGTGACGTCACGAGCTGCAACGCGATTTTCACTTCCGCGTCTCGTATACACGAGTTTGTTGTTGTTTGGAAATTTTTCATGCAACAAAAACAGACTATCAATATTGTTTCGTCCGTGTATTGTTTGATATATTGAAATGTAATTGTCATCTTTGATAATGGCTTATGTAAGCCGAAAGCTTAGATTGGATTTAAACATGTATCAATATGGTGATTTCCTTTTGTCTTTCAATGATAATGTTAATAAGCTTATGAAACATGCACCATTGAAAAATTGCAGCCTAAATATAAATATATATATATATATATATATATATATATATATATATATATATATATATATATATATATATATATAGTGAATATCGGAGGAGAGTAAATAACAACAAGTCTCTGTGAAATTTCTTCCTCATTATCCTCCCAGGCCAAATCACTTCCGGTGTCTAGGATATTTCAAAGTTTCCTTGAACAACTAATTCATCTAAGTTTCTTTCAGATTCTTGCCAATGATCATTATTATAAGTACAACCCTAATTTTTATGCTCAATTCATTTGGGAGCTTTTTTTTTTAAAAAAAATCGAATTTACCCCATGCAAGACAATAAAGCCACTAAAACACAAGGGGTTACTGGGTGTGAAAAAATTAGATAACAGAAACATTATTAAGGATCGAAAACAGTAGAAGATTAATCAGGAAGACAATAAAAAACAATTGACATTGCATTTAAATTTTTAAAGATCAAATTTGGCTGGAAAGCATGGAACCAGAAGAGTGTTCTACAAGCGAGAATTGCGAGAAAAGAAACTGTTAGCATAGAATTTACGGTTACATCCAATTAATTCAACTGTAAATTGTTGGATCCTTTTTGTTAATCTAGTACTGCGTTTAAATTTATAAAGTCCATAGAGGGAAGTAATATTTATTTTGCAAGGGCGAAAATGTGGCACGAGGCTAAATAGAGGGATGGGGAAATGCTGGTCTTCAGTCTGTTTTATCTTAAACTTAGCTAGCCACAATTACTGATCTAAACATACCACAGTATTCCGTAGAATAATAAAAAACAAAAAACGCATTTTTACCATTCTTTTTACAGTCACCATAATACCTCAGAGTCTCTATGAAGTCCTAACTAGTTCCCATATGTACAATTTGTCCGGGTGTGGGGAAATAACAGCATTTAAAAATGAAACCCAATGAATATTTACAATGATTACAAAATATTCATTGGGGTTTTATTTACCAAAGAGGCAAGTTCATTGGAAGAATTGCCATGAAAGTACTTATAGAAATGGCGCAGGGAAGTGACTTTACGGTGGTGGGAAACTGACTGAAGACGAGACGCCAGGTCAGGACCAATAATATTGCGGATTCTCCTTTGGATTTTATTAAGAATCTCTAAATATATAGCAGGAGCACCGGACCATATATGGCATCAATCTGGTATTTTTTCAAATTTTTTTTCCAACTGTTTCATGTTCTCTACTAGCGCAGCCAGATTCACGATCTGATAGGTCCTTCTTTTCTTTGGGTAGTTGGGTAATCTTCTTTATGCGCCGTGTCCCTTTAGGACGTAGACGATCATGGCCTTCAACGTCTTCCTTTGACTTGTAGCTCCTAATAATTTTTGTCTACCATCCATTTACTCAAGCTCTTTACGTACGTTATACACTGCTTTTCCTTGTTCCTCTTTCTCTCAATCTGTCCTGTGAGTATCAGATTTCCCAAGCCCACCTTCCTCATTACATGCCCCAGAAATTTCAATTGCCTCTTCCTTTTCGTTTTCATTTTCTCTAAAACCTTGTTGTTGCTCACATGTTCGGTTCATGGTATCTTCAGCATCTTTCTGTAGAACCACACTTCTGTTGCTAGAGGTTTCTTCTTCATCTCTGGCGAAATGGTCAAGCATACAGGAGGACAGATATCACGTAACAGTTCAGTACTCTTTTCTTTGTTTCTGACGAATTCTTCTGTCTCTTAATACTCTGCTTAGCTTTTGGAAGGCATCTAAAAAACTGGAAGTGTATAAGAAACTATTAAGAGGTAAGAAAATGTTCTCACAAACAGAGTGCTGAAGTGCTTTGTAATATCTTACGTCCAAATTGGTTGCGAATGATGGGAAATTTCCTTAGAGATGAAGAAGTGACATGAAGTAACAGAAGATGTAGCATTACCGATGAACGCTGGGAAGGCGAAACGTGAGAAACGTGGAGTACCTTCGGAAAATAGGAAGGCCAAAGAAAAAAAATACAATCGGAAAGTCTTCGATTACCGATGTTAAAAACGTCGAGACTGGGCCTAAATGGGTGACCGTTTGGGAAAAAATCAAAAGATTGAATATGCAGATGGGATGTCAAACAGCCATATCACGTTGGTCAGCTCTTCTTTTAGATGGGTGTTAAGCAACGGGAGACTGGTCAGAACCTAGATGGGTGACCGTTTGGGAATACCAAATGCTGTAAGATTGGATATGCAGATGGGATGTCTAA